GCTTTGATGCAAATCTAGTGTAGGGGTAGGTTTAGAGGATAGGGGTTGGGTTAGGTGATAGAAAATATCATTAACCTGATATAAAAACAATGGAAGTCACTAATATAATGAAACAAATGTGTGTGTGTGTGTGTGTAAAGTGTGTGTTTTTTGTGTTTACAATATGCCCGTGGTGTACATATAATTTTGCCCACTTTAGTCAAATGGTCATCTGTCTCACCATTTTTAGAGCAATAACATTCTGACACTGTTCAAAAGTATCATCAATGTTAAGACAGTTCCAAAACAAATGGTTAAAATAGAATATATATATATATATAACGTTCTGCTAGATGGCTATTTACTGGAGTATACTTAAAATATACTTGAACTTTACTTAAGTATACTTAATAAAATAAACTTGAAGTATACTACTTTTTGGTAAGGGAAGTCAATGTGGTTATCTGTGTGTTTTTTTTTTAACAGCTACTAGTTTTTCAAAAGTAACTTTGTTGTGGATGCAGTGAGTAGCTTGGTAAGCTACCGTTTCAAAGTCACCTCCTCAAACACTGATGTAGATTTTGTTTACATTAAAAATTAAACATACACAATACTGTCATTGTTGCGATGCACATTTTCCTGTGATAAAGAAACATAGAAAGGATTAAAAACAAAAGAGATGAGGACACATATGCCGCCAATAAGGCTAGCTTGGTCATGCTGTAGGCGTATGATCTGAATAGGTCTATTGTAATAAAGATGAATTTGCGTGCAGATATTATCAGGGCCACCACTCTGTGCCCATTGTGGTTTCAAAATGGCATCCTCTCTGATCTTTTATTACCACCATCCCCTCCTCCAAACTCAGAGGAAATAGATTTATCAAAACTTTGTTCCATGTAAATGCAGCATAAATACTGAGCACTATAGCGTATAACATCTCCTCCCCCCAAAAATCAATAATAATATGTTTAAAACCAAGCCAATCTCTTTTTCTCGCCAGAGCCCCTGATTATAAAAGGCTTTATTTTTATGTACACTTTTTGACATCATGTTTTATTCTGGCTTAAAGTAGCCGCCTAGAAGGCCTCGATGATTAGGAGGGAGATTCTGTCAGTCTGACAGCAGAGGAATTGGATATGCTATGAGAGCACTCAACAGATCAATGACATTTCTGATAGACTGAAATAGACTTGAATTGAAATATTGCTGTTAAGTTACTCTATTTTACGCCTCATGAATGACTGTACCACTGGAGACTAGTCGGATCTGAACTAAAATACACACTTAAAAATGTATTATGGCCGGCATGGAGACGTGTATGGAGATTTATAGAGATACAAAAGTGTGCAGAGACGTGGGCTTAAAATGAGACATGTCTCCAGTCTGGCTCCACTCTCAAAATTAATGTGAGAACAGTCAGTGGCCTGTGGTTATTTCTGAACAGCAGTGAGACTTCTGCACGAATAGACTACAAGTCTTGCTCTGCCAGACTTTTGACTGTAGGCATAAAGTCTGGTCCACTTTACGTCAAAACATATTTAAATATCTTCCAAAGAAATCCATTTCATAATTTGACTGTGGCTAATGCTAACTACCAGTGCAACTAACTACAACAAAAGAATGATTATATGATGGCTGGCTATAAATATATTTGCTAATATTCAATATATTCCTACATATATGATCACATTTTCTCTTGGCCGTACAGAGGTGAGTCAGTATAGCTTCTTACAAAAAAGTTGAGGTCATTATGATTTTTTTAAATGTTTTTGAAAGAAGACTATTATGCATTTCTTTTATCAAAAATACTGTAAAACTATATTGTGAAAAATTATGACAGTTTTAAATAAACTGCTTTCAATTGTTATATACTTTAAAATATTTTAAATAAAATATATTTTAAAAATGTAATGGCAAAGCTGAATTTTCAGAAGTCTTCAGTTTCATATGTTCCTTCGGAAACCATTCTAATTTGCCGATTTGTGGCTCAACACAGTAAAAAATTCCCACCTATTTCAACTTAAAAACCCAAGTTGCTACTTTACATTTTTAGGTATAATCAAATCAAATGGTTGTACAAGTCATTTCAACTTCAATTACATTAAACCGACTTGAAAAATTAAATTGATTTTCATATTTAAATGAAACTAAATTGAAATTGTTCAGCTTATTTTGATTAAAGTAATCTAAAAACATAAGTTGCCATGACTTAATAATTTATTTATTTTTATAAAGAAGAAACATTTCTTCTGTTTCTTTTGAAAACAGTTGTTCTGCTTAAAATTTTGTGGAAACAAAATTCAGGATTCATTGAAAGTTCACAAAAAGATAAGCATTTATTTCAAAATAGATTTTGTAACATTTTATTAATTGAATTTAATTTTAATTTGTCCTTTCTGAATAAAAGTTATATTTCTTTATAAAAAAAAAACAGTAAATAACCATCTAGCAGAACACCCTACCGACCACTTACTGACCCCATACTTTTGAAAGCTAGTGTATTGTTTAGTCAAAAATGAAGATTTATTACTTTTTTATTAAGATTTATTATTTGCAATTTCAAATCGTGCAGTCACCTGTCAAGTTAAGACTTCGTGGATTGTCTGTACTAAGGTTAAGGTTAGAGGTTAGGTAACATTATATCAAATGAAATTACGGTATTTAACTGTAAATTTAAGTTAAAACCGTAAAACCTAAAACGTTGCTACCGTATTTTTTACGGTAAAATTCTGGCAACCACAGCTGCCGGTTTTCTACCGTAAATTTTACGGAATTGTTTTTACAGTGTAGGGTCTTAATTCACTACTCACTATCACTGTTTGACAAGCATTATTATATCAATGCACCAGCAGTTGTTTGCCCAGTGTTTAACTTGCATATAGAATCTTTAATGTAACTAGATCTTGCAGGCTAACAGTGCCTAATTATTTAGTGGGTTATGGCAAAAAGTGAACTCTTTATAACCCGGTGACAAAGCCAAGCTTCACACAGACTAAATTATAAATCCACATTTAATTTCAAACAATCTGGTCTTCGAGAGCATCCAAAATAGCATAGTTTGCATAGATGGATCCTCTATGCACCCAAGCTCAGATCCTGTTTCACGGTTGGTTGATCCAGAGAGGAAATTTGCCAAAGACAGTCTATTTTGCAGAGGGAGTATGTGTGTGTTAACACTAGGATAGGGTGACCATACGTGCCATTTTCCCAGGACGCGTCCTGGCCAGGATTTCTATATTGCCTAAAATATCTAGGTTTTGGCTTTGTTTGCATGTGCAGACCGATCGGTGTATGACATCAAAGTACCATACAGACGGTTATGCTTTCGAAACGCTCTCGAGGTACTTTGATGTCAAACACTGATCGGTCTGAGCCGCACTGCTTTTAAGTCGAACACACCTAATATGTACGCGTAATTGCATCGCTTTGACCGTAGATCCCACCTTCTCACACGCCATGATTGGTCCATTATGTACAATGTTTGCATGTTATTGGTCAAACTACTTTTCGATCATTACCTTCAGCAAGCATGAAAACAGGAAAACAAAGCCAAAACAAATCCTGGCCAGGACGCGTCCTGGGAAAATGGCACGTATGGTCAACCTACACTAGGAGATGAATTAAATCAGAGGAAACAGAGCAGAAGGGAGGGAGAAAAAGAGGAGGGCCAAAGAAAGAAGGAATTAGAAGAACTGAGCAAGTTCAAACATGTCGGAGAAAAACTTTCAAAAATGTGGCGTATTTCTGGTCCTCTTGTTTTGTGTCCTTACACTTTTGATATTGAGCCATCTCCATCAGCAGGGAGGCTGCCAAACGTCTTGAAGAGGAAATTAAATCATTCAGCTGAATCAAATATCCAGCCCCACACCAAGTGAACACAGACATTTAAGTGTTTATGACCAGGCCCTGCTGAAAAGATCAAGTCATACTGCCCTATGGTCAAAGTCAACTATAGTCAAAGCTTTATTTTAGAACATGGTTATCTCCACTGGCTTAGACAAGGTGGTCTACCAGCTTTACCCAATTTGACTTTGGTTACTCTTGCTGGTTGTCCAGCTGAGCAGCAACGATCAGTTTCAAGCCATGTAGCTATCATCTGAAGCTAGTTTAGCTGGATTTTCTGGCAAGGTGACACCCTATTTATGACAACACAACAAGGAAAAAAAATGTGGTTTTACAAAAAGGTGACATAATACATTTCACATAATAAATTTCTGAAATAAATCCCTGGATATGTTATGTCTGAGTATGAGTGTGCGTGCGTAAGAAGAGATTATGAAGGGTGAAAGGCTTATCTTAATCATAGCACTTAATTTAATGATGACTCTGATTTAACTGTGTAATTTAATGTTACGAAAGTATTGTCTGTAAACTGAGAAAAACTTTTCTTTTACAAAAAAGTACTATGGAGACTATGGATTTGGACATATAGGCTACTGTATGATTACCATTTTATGCGCTTACAAATGTTTTTTTTTTTTTTGTACAGTGATCGAAGAGCCATTTTTAGTTCCCCAAAGAACCATTTTCTTAGTGTGAAGAACATTTTAAAAAAAATGTTAAGAACTTTTTTTCCAACCCCACTATGAAGAACCTTCTGTGGAATGTAAAGGTTCCATGGATGTTAAAGGTTCTTCATGGAAGCAAATGCCTTTTTTTTTATTTTTTTTTTTAAGTGTACCATGGTATTTAAATGGTATCACAGAGAATACAATTACCATCAATGTTTGGATTATTGTCCAAAGCATTGTAATATCAATGTACATTTTCGAAAGTATGGACAATAAAGTATTTTGCTACAATAGCCAAAAGTGCATACCTAGCCTAGCTGTAGCAGTTTAAGCATACCTTGTTTTTAAGACTCATCCATTTGTCTACTCCAACCACTCCTATAACACTTACATTTTTGACGAAAGCAACACAAAAGCTTTTTCACCTCGCCTATGAATACTTGTGTTTACAAACGGAAGGGAGTTATTCCCGCAGAGGAGATGTGTTTGAGGAGGAGGAGGAGGCTCTTGACGTCTGCTGTGGGGTGTGTTTGTGCTCGGCCTCCGTAGACGCGGAACTTCAGCAAAGACTGCCGTTAACGGAGAATCGGAGGAGAATCTATAGCTTTTACTGAAGACATCTTCCGTGCAGGACTTTAACTGAGATCGCCTGAAGTGTCAGAGTGAGTATATGATCAGACTCGATCACTTTAACTCCACTGACAGAGACAGACAACCACAGGAGCGAGCGAGCGAGCATAGCCAGCGTCAGTCTGCCTTTAGATAGCTGGGCTGTCTGTATGTGCATGACCATACTACAGTTGAAAACGGAATAATTACAAATATCCACGCAGTCTCTAGACGTCTTACAGTATATGACCATGTAACAGTGAAAAGGAAGCAGTTCAACTGTGTAGCTTATGCTAATGCTTCAGCTGCATAACACCTCAGCTCATCCACATGCCCAGCATAAACTCTGGCTCATATTTTATCAACTCTGGATATTTTAAAGCTCTTATATTTGCCTAGGACCCAGTTTATGTTATTCTTGTGAAGTAGTGTCATATTTGTTTGGCAGGTTTTGTTTTTCTACATTAATAGCATTATTGACGCTCTTGTTGACAAACGAGTTTAATGTTCAGACCATGTTGACATTTCTGTTATGAATATAGCTGTCATGTCTTGTGGTAATAATACTGTTACTTACTACTTCTTTTTTTTTGTATGTACATGGTATTTTAGGGGTAGTCTGCAGTAACTTTTATTTAGGAGAACTCATTCCTATAACAATTAGACACTTTTACTGATACACCTCATGAAAAATAAAGTTAAAAAACAGATGTCCAGATGTCTAATTAGTCATTAACAAGCATTATATAATGTTGAACAAATCAGTTGTTCAAAAACTTTAAATATACACTCACTAGCCACTTGTACACCTTGCTAGTACCGGGTTGGACCTCTTTTTGCCTTCATAACTGCTGTAATTCTTCATGGCATGAATTCAACAAGGTGCTGGGAACATACGCCTCAGAGATTTTGGTACATATTGATATGATAGCATCATGTAATTGTTGCAGATTTGTCGGCTGCTCATCCATGATGCAAATCTCCCATTTCACCACATCTCAGAGGTGCTCTATTGGACTGAGATCTGGAGGACATTTGAGTATAGTGATCTCATTGTCATGTTCATGACACCAGTTTGAGATGATTTGAGCTTTGTGACATTATCCTGTTGGAAGTAACCATCACAAGATTGGTGCACTGTTGTCTTTAAAGGACGGATAAGGTTAGCAACAATAGGTAGGCTGTGGTGTTTAAACAATGCTCAGTTGGTACCCAGAGTGTGCCAAGAAAATATCCCCTTGAAGCCCATCTGCTTCAAGGTTATTAGTGTGTTTATTTGAGTTACTGTTGCCTGTCTACCAGCTCGAACCAAAAAAAAAAAAAATGTAGCATTTTCAACGTCTTGGCATTTTAGAAAGATGAGATGAAGAAAATGATGGGCTAGTACTGTACGTTAACTCGAATTTTAATAGATTTTACAAATAATATATGTTATTATGTCCTGTTATAATGCAGTACAGTACATGTATCCTTAAATTTGCTCTGGGTTTATGAAAGTATGGACTCAGCTTAGCTTTTAAAGTTAAAAAGTGCTTTCCAATATATTCTGATGATCAATGAAGACAATGGGGGTTTCATCACTGAGTGTTTTGTTGGCTTTTACTGAGATAAAGAGAAAAAATCAGCAAGCTTGGAATTAAAATAAATAAAATAGTGAAAATGAAAAATCCTCAATAACATTTACGTTTTACATTTATTCATTTAGCAGATTTTATCCAAAGTGACTTACAAATGAGGTATACAACAAGTAATTCATCAAAAAGAGGAAAATAAAAACGAGAAGTGCCCGTAATACAAAGTTTTAGACATAATTCGGAAAAATACAAGCTTAGAACAGGGTAGATAAATGGGGGGAAAAAATGTAATAAGAGTCCAAGTTTTCACTGACTTGAGAATTGAATATTAACATAACTGACAGCATTACTATAAAACGTACCCACAAACAAACAAAACGCATTGTGGCCTTGGTTTACAAGTAGAGTTGGGAATCGAAAATCAATTCCAATTCCAGAATTGGATACTTAAGGTCAGGAATCAGATACTTGTTGTAAAATTTATATTTCAATTCCACCTATCAATTCCTATGTGCGCATCTTTTTTTTTAAGTGGCGAAAAGGGGCTATTAAAAATGTATTCGTATTTGAATAATTCATTCAAGAGATTCATTCAAAAACGCTGATTCATCCAGTAATGAAATAACATTTACGTTTTACATTTATTCATTTAGCAGATTTTATCCAAAGCGACTTACAGATGAGGTATACAACAAGTAATTCATCAAAAAGAGGAAAATAAACACGAGAAGTGCCCGTAATACAAAGTTTTAGACATAATTCGGAAAAATACAAGCTTAGAACAGGGTAGATAAATGGGGGGAAAAAATGTAATAAGAGTCCAAGTTTTCACTGACTTGAGAATTGAATATTAACATAACTGACAGCATTACTATAAAACGTACCCACAAACAAACAAAACGCATTGTGGCCTTGGTTTACAAGTAGGGTTGGGAATCGAAAATCAATTCCAATTCCAGAATTGGATACTTAAGGTCAGGAATCGGATACTTGTTGTAAAATTAATATTTCAATTCCACCTATCAGTTCCTATGTGCACATCTTTTTTTTTAAGTGGCGAAAAGGGGCTGTTAAAAATTTATTCGTATTCGAATAATTCATTCAAGAGATTCATTCAAAAACGCTGATTCATCCAGTAATGAATCAAGTAAATCTTAAGTGAGTCATTGAATCATTCCATGCATAAATTCCATGAGATTTTGTTTAGTTGTCTAATATTTTTTCCTCAGAATTGTGAGAGAAATACAACCTCCATTAAAAAAAAAAAAGCTCTTTTTTTGCACACAAACAACTCTAAATCGAGTCCAGTTTTTATGTAGCAGGCTGATTTTTGTTCATGGTATTAAGCAGCAATGAAATGTTTTGCAAAAAGAGACACAGAATAAATATGTTTGATATCTAAATGTTTGACTTAATTTTTTAACCACACTGCAATCAAAACTGGGAATCGCTAAGCAGAATTGGAATCGGAATTGGAATTGATAAAATTCAAACGATACCCAGCCCTATTTACAAGTCATACTCCAACTTTTGAGAGCATATTTTGACTAGTGGTTGACTTATGTTTTTTTTTGTTTTCAATATTGTGTCAGGTGAACGATCAGTGACCTAATAATGCTATTATATAGAATTTAATACCAACAAATGACATAGGCACAAAATTACTGAGATGCAGTAAATGGTTATTAATATTTAGGCCTACTCAAAATTTGTTATTGATTTGTTGTTTGTTATTTGTTATTGATTTGTAATTTATTGAAATTTAGTATCCATTGACTGCTTTTTGTCAGTTATCGGCACATGCAATATCATCCCAAAACAGCAGCTAATTTTTCAGCTTTACTGATTAGCCTATGCTCCAGTCTTGTTTAATCTCTTTTAACTTTATCTGAAGTAATTTATCAAAGCTTCTTTAAGCCTTCCTAAACTTATGGAAGCCCGTCTCTGCCACTAAATAAAAAATAAAACAAGGTAATTGCGGCTTTTTACTTTTTTTTCTCAGAATTGTGTGATATAAACTCGCAATTCTGACTTTATAACTCGCATTTCTGAGAAAAAAAGTCATAATTGCGAGTAGAAATGTAACGATTCACTCAACTCACGATTCGATTCGATTCACGATTTTGATTTCTCGATTCGATTCACAATTTTTTTTTAACAAAATGAGATTTAAGACAAATTATAAATTAAATGTGTCCTTTTATTATTGCTTGGACAAAATGCTGCACATTTCTTTGGGTATATTGAAATATAACACTATAATAATATACTAATATAGCACTTGCATATTATTGCTCTTTTGTTGGTTTTGATTGCTTCTATTGTCCTCATTTGTTAGTCGCTTTGGACAAAAGCGTCTGCTAAACGACACAATTTAAATATAATGTAAATGTAAAT